TCTCTGTCTCTGTCTCCTCTCTGTCTCTGTCTCTGTCTCTGTCTCCTCTCTGTCTCTGTCTCTGTCTCTGTCTCTTTGTTTATCTGTCAGTGTTTGTCTCCCTTGCTGTCTCCTTCTCTCTGTCTCTGTCTCTGTCTCTGTCTCCTCTCCGTCTCTATATCTCTATCCATCTGTCTCTGTCTCTTTATCTGTCTTTGTCTCTCTTGCTGTCTCCTTCTCTGTCTCTGTCTCTGTGTTTGTTCACGTTGTCTGTTCCGTGTCCTTTATTTATTTATTTATTTATTTATTTATTTATTTCTTTTTATTGCTGCTTTTATTTATTTATTTATTTTGCTGCTGCTTTTATTTATTTATTTATTTTTTTTGCTGCTGCTGCTGCATACCTTCTCGACCCAAGGAGACAACACAGTGCAGCACCACACAGCAGCACATCAGCAGCAGCAGCAAACCAGAGACAGCACCCCAGCCTAAGGCGCTGCAGAAGAAGCTGCAGCGCCCAGGGCTGCTGCTGCTGCTGCTTTGTGCTGCTGCTGCTGCTGCTGCAGCAGCTGCTGCTGCTGCTTCTTCATTATCTTGCAACCCAACGGAGACAGCCTCTATCTCCCTCTCCCACTGCGGCAGGGCCCCCCGAGAGGAGACAGGGGACCGAGGGCCTGTCCCATACAGCATGCTTGCTGCTGCTGCTGCTGCTGCTGCTGCTGCTCTTGCTGCTGCTGTTGCTGCTGCTGCCGTTGCTGCTGCTCCTGCTGTTGTTGTTGTTATTGCTGTTGTGGCTGCTGCTGTTTTTGTTGTTGTTGCTGCTGTTGTTGCTTCTGCTGCTGTTGCTGTTGTTGCTGCTGCTGCTGCTGTTGCTGCTGCTGCTGCTGTTGCTGCTGCTGCTGTTTCTAGAGGAAGCCCTGCGCCTCCTTCGGCCACCGCATGCAGCCGCCCCTGGGAAAGTTGCAGCAGCTCTTACTCCTAGTGCTATTCTTCCTAATACTGGCCCCTCTGCTGCTGCTGCTGCTGCAGCTGCTGCTGTTGTTGCTGCTGCTGTAGCTGTTGTTGCTATTGCTGTTGTTGCTGCTGTTGTTGCTTCTCCTGCTGCTGCAGTCGCTCTTGCTGCTGCATCTGCTGCAGTTCTCCGTCTCCCCGCTTGAAAGCCTGCTTATTTGCTGCTGCTGGTGACGCAGTTTTCGCTGCTGGGGGTCCTGTGAGCTGCAGCAGCAGCAGCAGCAACAGCAGCGCCGACAGCTGCTGCTGCTGCTGCTGCTGCTGGAGATCCCCTGGGTGCTCCCAGTTGTATAAGAAGGGTGTTAATGTTTGCAGAAGGCTTTCTAAGCAGAAGCAATTCTTCATTAGCTGCGGCTCTGCTGCTGCTGCTGCTGCTGCTGCACACCTCCAGCAGTTCTGGGGCCCCCAGTGGCTGCAGCTGCAGCCGATCCCTGTTGTCTGCTGCAGCAAAACAAACTCTAATTCATTTAATTAAAAAGCTGTTGTTCTTGAGGTGTATATACACCTCAATTACCCTTGTGCATCGTTGCTTGCTTAGCCAGAATCAACAGCAGCAGCTGCTGCTGCTGCACTGAGGGGGGCCCCCTTCCGACGCAGCAGCAGCAACAGCAGCAGCAGCAGCAGCAGCATCTTTGAGTCCTTCTTTAGACGTCATACACCCCAGCATTTTGAATCGGTGCGAGGACTTCAGCACCATCGTGTTGCTGCTGCTGCTGCTGTTGTTGCTGTTGTTGCTACTGTTGCTATTGCAACAGAGAGGTAGTACGGCGGCTCGGCTCAAACAGCAGCAGCAGCAGCAGCAGCAGCAGCCACTGTTACTGCTGCACCACCGTTGGTGTGGGGTAGCGTGGTGGTTGGCACAGCGAAAACGGCTGCATCAACAGCAGCAGCAACAGCCGCAATAATAGCAGCAGCAGCGACAACAGTAAAACAAACAGCAGCAGCAGCAGCAGCAGCAATAATGCAGAGTCCACAACAAGTCTCATTAGAGCTGAAGACACAACGAAGGCGCAGAGTTTCCGCTGATGACACGCAGCAGCAATTGCTGCTGCAGCAGCAGCAAGAGCAGCAGCAGCAGCTGTTGCTACAGCACCAGCAGCTGCTGCAGCAGCAACTGCTGCAGCAAAAGCACCTGCAGCAGCAGCAGCAGTCCCTTCTTTCTCGTGCAGCTGTGAGTTTGGGGCTTCCTGTGGAGTGCCGCCCCACTCCTCGCCCTGCTGCTGCTGCTGCTGCTGCTCCTGCCCCTGCTGCAGCACCAGGTGTATGTACAGCTGTGCATGCTGCTGCACCGGTGGAGGCGGCAGCCAGCAGCACGCATCGCGTCCCCTTCCGGCTGTCTGTGGGGTCCTCTAGCTGCCGCAGCGAGGCTTCTGCTGCAGCACCCGCTGCTGCTGCTGCTGCTGCTGCTGCTGCTGCTGCAGCTAGCCAGCTGATGCAGCATGGCCCCAGCAGCAGCCGCCGCCGCAGCAGCACCAGCAGCAGGAGCAGCACGTGGCTCCCCACACTTCTATCTTCTGCTGCAGGCAGCTGCAGTAGATATCCCTCAGGAGTACAGGTGAAGCGCGAGGCCTCTTCTGCTGTTGCTGCTGCACCTGTTGCTGCTGCTGCTCCCGACGCTGCTGCTGTTGCATGGGCTGGGGCGGCGAGTCCTGGCTGTTATTCCCCTGCTTCAGCAGCAGCACAGCAGCAGCTGTTGCAGCAGCAGCCGCTGCTGCTGCAACAGCACGAAGGGTTGGTGGAGCAGCAGCAGCAGCACGGCTCGTCCCTCTACAAAACGCAGCAGCAGCTGCAGCAGCAGCAGCTGCCCCAGCAGCAGCACAGTGCGATGCTGCTTCTGCCGCATGCAGAAGCCATTGTGGGGTCTGATTCGCCGCAGCCAGCAGCAGCAGCGGAGCAGCAGGAAAAGCAGCAGCACCTACAGCAGCTGCAGCAGCAGCAGCAAGAGAGCTGGCAGGGGCTGCTGCAACAGGAGGAGCAGCAGACAAAGGAAGAGAAGCGCATGCAGCAACTCCAGCCCCAAATGGCGCGTCTCCAAGCTGACCTGGAGCACTTGCAGCAGCTGCACCAGCAGCAGCTGCAGCAGCAGCAGCTACAGCAGCAGGAACAGCAGGTGCTGCAGCAGCAGCAGCAGCAGCAGCAGCAAGAGCAGCATCATGTGCTGCTGCCTCTTCCTACTTGTAACGATTCTGCATGCACTGCATGCCACTTGCTGCAGGGATTTGCTTCTGATGCAATGCAGCTGAAGCAGCAGCTGGGCGTGCTGCTGCAGCGCCTCCGCAGCAACCCCGCAGCAGCAGGAGGAGCAGCAGCAAGACCGACAACTGCTGGAGCAGAAGCAATGACAGCAGAGCCCGCAGAGCCTGCAGCAGCTGCAACGGCAGCAACAGAACACACACGGAACATTGCTGCTGCTGCTGCTGCTGTGGGGCAGGACGACACAGTGCAGCAGCAGCTGAGACCAGTAGTGCAGCAGCAGCTGCAGCAGCAACACGAGCAGCTGCAGCAACGAGAACAGCTGCATCTACAGCAGCAGCAGCTCAGGAAGCAGCAGCAGCAGCAGCAGCAGCAGACTACGCAGCAGCAACAACTGGGCCAGCAGCAACTTCAGGTGTCTCTGCAGCTTGAAGGCATCAACGAACGGCAGGCAAATCTGCAGCAGCAGCAGCAACAACAACAGCAACTGCTGCAGCAACAGCAGCAACAGCTGCAACTGCAACAGCAGCAAATAGAAAGACTGCAACGGCAGGTATCGGTGCTCCAAGAGGAGCAGCAGCAACTGCTGCAGCAGCTGCAGCAGCTGCAGCAGCTGCACCAAACCGCTCAAGATGAAAAGGCGCAGCTGCAGGCAACGCTGCTGTACTTCGTAACGCACCACAAGCAGCAGCAGCAGCAGCAGCCTGCTGCAGCGGCAACAGATGATTCTAACGCTGCTGCTGCTGCTGCTGCTGTTACGCACGCGGCCCTCCCACAAGCAGCAAAAGGAAGCAGGAGCCGAACATACCAGTTGCAGCAACAGCGCCTACTGCTGCAGCAGCAGCTGCAGCAGCAGCAGAAGTTGCTGCTTTCTCCTTTGAGTGTGGCCAGCAGCGGAGCGAGCAGCTCGAGGCCCACAGCAACGACAGCAGCAACAGCACCGTTAGACGAGGTGCAGCAGCAACAGCAGCAGCAGCAGCAGCATCGACTGCTTCAGAGTGACAGTGCTGCAGAAGCTTCTAGTGCTGCTTCTGCACTATTAACAGCAAGCCCGATACGCAGCAAGTACACACCCGCTGCTGCTGCTGCTGCTGCTGCTGGGAAGTACCGCCGCAGCAGCAGTGTCTCTAGCAGCAGAGGGAGCATCCCCAGTGTCTGTATATCCGATAGTGACTGACTGACTGCGCAGCAGCAGCAGCAGCAGCAGCAGCAGCAGCAACTGCAGCACAGGATGGCATTTGTTTGAGGTATATGTTTGTACACCATCCAGGTGATTTGCTGTCTCTTCCGCTGTCTTGCAGCAGCAGCAGCAGCAAACTGCAGCAGCAGCCCTTTAAGGCTGCTGCCACTGAGAGGTAAACGGAAGTAGCAGCAGCAGGCTGCCGCTGGTGCTGCTGTAGCAGGAACAGGTAGTGATGAGTCGTGCTGCTGTAGTACAGAAGAATAGCAACAGTCGATGCAGCAGCAGCGACCTGCAGCAGCAGCAAGCTGCAGCAGCAGCAGGTAGTGGTGAGTCTTGCTACTCTAGTAGCTGCTGCTGCGATGACAGCACGGTGAGGAAACATAGGCTAAGCGAGGAGCAGCAAACCAGCAGCAACCATAGCTGCAGCAGCAACAGCAGCAGTAACAGCAGCAGCAGCAGCAACAGCACTATCAGCAGCAGCAACAGCACCGGCAGCAGCTTTGCGTATCTGTAGCGCTTGAAATATTATAATACATGGGTGAGATAAATAAAACTTTCTTATAGAAGCATGAACAATCGATTGCTGCTGCTGCAGCAGCTGCAGCAGCAGCAGCAGCAGCAGCAGCAGCACAGTATTGGTGTTGTGGGTGGGTGGGGTGGTGTTTAGGGGGGGTTGTTGTTGCTGCAGCAGAAGCAGCTACAAGGCCCTAAAGAGAAGTCTTTCTTTTGTTTAATCCTTTTGTTTGTTTTATTTTTATTATTATTAACCCTCCTTAAACTTATTAAAAAGAAGACGAAGAAGACCGCTGCCGTGGGGTGTACATGCAGCTCGGGATCGCTAAGCTGCTCGCTCCGCTTCTCCTCAACACCCCCTCTCTAAATCCCTCTGACTTCATTTCTTCTTATTATTAACACACAGCTGCACCTGCAGCAGCAGCACGAGCAGCAGCAGCAACGGCAGCAGCTGCAACACCAGCCGCAGCAGCAGCAGCCGCCGCCGCCGCCGCCGCAGCAGCAGCAGCAGCTACACCACCGCAACCCGAGAACCAGCAGCAGCAGGAACAACAACAACAGCAACAACAACAGCGGGAGCAGCAGCAGCACCACCGCCACCCCCCACCAGACCAGCATCAGCAGCAACACCTGCAGCAGCAGCAGCAACAGCAGCAGCAGCAGGAGACAATGGATGAGGATTTGACTCCTCCTCGCCCCCGCCAGGTGGTGTCTCCTCTTCAGGAGACACTCGGGGCCTCAGCAAACGAAATGCAGCGCTCTGAATTGCCTGGGGGTAGCGAGCGCTCGCCTATTTCAAGACGTAGAGCCTGTAAACCCTAAACCCTAAACCCTAGCAGCTCGAACGATAAACCCTAAACCCTCTTTAATACCCCTTCTATGCCTCTTCTCTTCTTCAGGCATTTGTTTTGTTTTTTATTATTTTATTTGCATTTGTCTGCTGCCACCCCGTCACAATTAAAGTGCTTACATATAAGGGTTTAGGGTTTACTTAAGGGTTTAGGGTTTGCATAAGGGTTTAGGGTTTACATAAGGGTTTATTGTATATAGCATGTATGCGTCTGTGCATGTACATCAATATATGTATTTATAGTGGAGGGTTTAGGGTTTAGGGTTTAGGGTTTCTGAAGGGGTTAATGATAAGTATATGTTAATATAAATAAATAAATAAATATATATATATATATATTTATATATATAATTAAATATGTTTACAGGGGATAACGCTTCAGGGATGCGTGGTTCTCTTGGCGTAGAAGGTATAGCGGAAGGCAGCTCGATGGGAGGTTATCCAGCAGCAGCAGCTGCTGCTGCTGCTGCTGCTGCTGCTGGTGGTGCTGCTGCTGCTGGGGGATCTTCAGCAGCACCTAGCGAGTATAGCACAACGCCTTTAGCTGTACGACGAGTGCGATATGCTCGAGCAGATCTAGGAGATATGGGTCGCGAGTTTCTATTGCTAGATGAGCAAATGCAGAAGCTACCTGAGCTCCCTCGCGAGGTCGTAGGCCCTGAGATGGAGAGAGCCTTCGACAGATTTTTTGAGACATTTAACCTCGCCGATTATGCAGGAGGTAAATCCTCTTCATATGCATTATCCACTGCTCACGCCTTTACGCTTTACGGTTTAGGGTTTACGGTTTAGGGTTTACGGTTTACGGTTTAGGGTTTAGGGTTTACGGTTTAGGGTTTAGGGTTTAGGGTTTACGCTGGGAAGGGGATACGGGATGGGTGTTTGTTGCTGCTGCAGCAGCAGCAGCAGCAAAAGTTTACTGGTGCAGCAGCGACAATCCATAGCAGCAGCAGCAACGCTTTACAGCAGCAAGATCAGTTCACAGCAGCAGCAACAACAGCAAGAGCAGCAAGAGCAGCAGCAACAATGTGTGTTGTGTTGTGTTTTGCTGTTTAGTTATAACCCCAACAGATGAAGAAGTTGAGCTGCTGTCTCACGCTGCTGCTGCTGAGGGTGGATCTGGGATCGGGATCGGGATGGGGGATCGTCCACCATCACTATACATGTTGAAGTTATTGCGTTATTTAGAGACACGGGGTTGTGCTGCAGCAGGACGAGACAGAGCAGCATTTTCTGTTTCGCTGCAGCACATTTATGTGTACAGTCCCCGTCTGTACACCGCAGTTGTCAGCTCCCCTCAAGATGCAACTGCTGCCTTTGACGCTTTAATCCGCAATAAATTCGCCGATTTAAAAGACATTCACGGCCTCTTCGGAGAGGATAACCCAAACAAAACGCCTGATGAACTCCTTCTTCAACAGGTATATATATATATATATATATATTTATATATTTGTATATATATATATATATATATTTGTGTATATATATATGTATATGTATATGTATATATATTTATATGTTCATGTATATATATATATTTATGTATATATATATATATTTGTATATATATATATATATATATACATACAACACATGCAGAATGCGTAAAGTTTGTTATTGGTGTTTATGATTAGGGTTTATGATTAGGGTTTATGATTAGGGTTTATGATTAGGGTTTATGATTAGGGTTTATGATTAGGCTTTATTATTAGGGTTTATGATTAGGGTTTATTATTAGGGTTTATTATTAGGGTTTATTATTAGGGTTTATGATTAGGGTTTATGATTAGGGTTTATGATTAGGGTTTATGATTAGGGTTTATTATTAGGGTTTATGATTAGGGTTTATGATTAGGGTTTATTATTAGGGTTTATGATTAGGGTTTACGATTAGGGTTTATGATTAGGGTTTATTATTAGGGTTTATGATTAGGGTTTATGATTAGGGTTTATTATTAGGGTTTGTAAAGTAGGGTTTAAACTTAATAAGGGTTTACACACATCATTAATTAGGGTTTACACACATCACGAATTAGGGTTTGCATGCATGATGAATTAGGGTTTGCATGCATGATGAATTAGGGTTTGCATGCATGATGAACAAGGGTTTGTGATGATAGAAATGATAGAAATAATAAACAAGAGTTAATGCTGTGTTATTCAAAGGCCCCTCGCATTCGTTTACACTCCAAGCCGCCGAGTTTGATGGACAGTCTGCGGTGTCTAGACCCCACAAGAGACGTAGAGAGATTAATTTGTCTCCGCGGTGTTGTTATTCGCGTCTCCGAAGTCATCCCTGAGATGACGCTTGCTGCATTCAGATGCCAAGGTAAATCATTTGCTGCTGCTGCTGCTGCTGCTGCTTGTGCTGCTGCTGCTTGTGCTGCTGCTTGTGCTGCTGCTGCTTGTGCTGCTGCTGCTGCTGTTGCTTGTGCTGCGGCGTGTGCTGCTGCTGCTCCTTGGGCTGTTGCTGCTCCTTGTGCTGCGGCTTGTGCTGCTGCTGCTTGTGCTACTGCTTGTGCTGCTGCAGCTGCTGCTCCTGCTGCGGCTTGTGCTGCTGCTGCTGCTTGTGCTGTGGCTTGTGCTGCTGCTGCTCCGCCTCCTGCTAGGGGTGCTGCTTATGCTGCTGTTGCTGCTCGTGATGCTGCTGCTGCTAGTGGTGCTATTTCAGTATTTTGTTAGTTGTGCTGCTGCTGTTTGTGTTTGCTGCTGTTGGTGCTGCACTCTTCTGCTGCTGCTGTTGCCGCGGCTTCGGGTTTATTTTTTTCTGTCTCTCTCTGTCTCTCTCTGTCTCTCTTTGATTGGATGAAGTGTTTTTATTTGCATATATTTTATTTTGTTCGGGTGTCTCCTCAGCAAGAGACCCGCAGGGCAGACGCATGTGCCAGCACGAGGTGTATGCATGCGTTTTGAACGGCGACGTGCTGCAGCCTTCTCGCTGCCCTTCTTGTTTATCTCTTAACTCTACTTCTTTGTGGTTAGAGCAGTGCTCATTTGCTTCTAAACAACTTATTAAAATTACAGAGACACCCGAGCACCTGTCTCCAGGAGACACCCCACAAAGTCTTACGGTGTATGCATATGACGACCTCGTCGACTCCTGCAGACCGGGAGACAGAGTTGAAATCACCGGTATTATCATTATTCTGCTGCTGCTGCTAGTGCTGCTGCTGCTGCTAATGCTGCTGCTGCTGCTAGTGCTGCTGCTGCTGCTAGTGCTGCTGTTGCTGCTTCTAGTCATGCTGCTGCTAGTGCTGCGCCTGCTAGTGGCGCTGCTGCGAGTGCTGCTGCTGATGCATCTAGTCATGCTGCTGCTAGTGCTGCAGCTGCTGCTTCTGGTCATGCTGCTGCTGCTAGTGCTGCTGTTGCTGCTTCTAGTGATCCTGCTAGTGATGCTGCTGTTGCTAATGTTGTCTGCTGCTGCCTCATGCACTGCTGCTGCTGCCCATAGAGACCTTGTGGCGGTTGCTGCTCCTGTTTGTAGACAATCAGTGCATTTGCTGCTGCTGCTGCTGCTGCTGCTGCTGCTGCTGCAGGTGTATATAAGGTCTCCCCCACTCGTGTAAACCCTCGAATGCGGGTGCAGCACTCTGTGTTCCGCACATACGTCAATCTGCTGCATGTAGTTAAAGACGAGAGAGACAAAGCAACCAGATCTTCTGCTGCTTCTGCTGCACCAAAGCAGCAGCAGTCGCAGCCAAAGCAGCAGCAGTCGCAGCAGCAGTCGCAGCAGCAGCAGCAAGCTGAAGAGGAGACCGTCTCCTTCTCTCCCGAGCTAGAGAGACAGATCATCACCCTCTCGCAAGACCCAGTAAGACACCAGCAACAGCAGCAGCAGCTGCAACAGCAGCAGCAGCAACAGCAGCAGCAGCAGCAGCAACAACAACAGAAAAGCTGTATCGCTTACATTCACCTACGCCTCCTGGTTGTTGGATTCCAGGAGACACCCTGCTGCTGCTGCTACCGCTGCTGCTGCTGCTGCTGCTTTGTTTAGGACATATATCAGAAGCTGGTTGCTTCGTTTGCTCCGTCTATAGTTGGAAGGGATGATGTTAAGAAAGGAATTCTTTGTCAGCTGGTTGGGGGCTCGCGGCTGCAGCAGCAGCAGCAGCAGCAGCAGCAGCAGCAACTAGGGAAGCAGCGTAAAGCAAGACCCCACAGAAGTGAACTCCATGTGCTGCTCTGCGGAGACCCCGCAACAGCAAAGTCGCAGCTGCTGCAATACGTACACCAAATCGCTCCTAGGTATCGTCTAGGGTTTAGGGTTTAGGGTTTAGGGTTTAGGGTTTAGGGTTTAGGGTTTAGGGTGTATTGTTTGGTGTGTGTTTATTGATCT